CCTTTCATCATAGCAGACGTCCTCCAGCCCCCTGATTATCTTCTTGTCCTCCTCGGTACTCGCTGCAACTTGTCTATATCCTTCCGATGTTGAGGGTTCCACAGCTGGACGCAGCACTCCAGGTGGGGTCTCACCAGAGCAGAGTACAGGGGCAGAATCACCTCCCTTCACCTGTATATGAGTTCATGAATTAAGTGACATATTCTGATGTATTTGTTAAAACATGCTCTTGTTATTGTGTTCATTTGGGAGCTCCACTGATGAGAATAATCCTTTGGAAATGAATTCCCTTGTACTATTCTGTCTAAAGTTTGCGTGTGTCAGAGTTAAGAAGTGATACAAATTCTGATGGGGATTTCTCAAAGGCTGAAAAGGGTAGCAATAAAAAATCTTTGTAAATAATTTTGAGACATCAAAATGTACTTAAGTATTATAGGCTTGGTTTTAAAGCTCAAGCGCTTAGGCTTTAAAAGGATGGTAAGGCATTATTTTACGATTGATACTTTGATTTTTATCAACTTAGTGGAAATACCAGAGAAGTAGTCCTTGGGAAAGGGCCCCATCACTGGACCATCCTTTAACTTTTTTTCTTCTAATTTAAAGTGTTCAGCTTTGTGTGGAGCTGTTTCAGAGAGAATTATATTGCAAACATAAGCAGTTCATATTTTTGTCTCAGTTTTGCTTTGTTTTCCACAAATTCTTGTAGCAAGCTGCTTCTAACTAAAAATCTCTGCAATTTTTCTCTTAAGGTTTATTGGCATCCAAAGCTGTTGTTGTGGATGGGGCTGAAAAAAAGGAAGGCAACAAAGAAACAGCTCCAGTCCTGGAGCAGGTATGAAATGGTAGAGTTTGATTCTTTTGCAAGGTTCCCACTGGAGTGTGCCATGGAGATGTAGTACCTACAACATTAAAATTTGCCCCTTCAGGTATAATAGGGAATTGAAAATTGATCTTATGTTTACATTTCTGGCAGAGCCAGAAGTATGGAATTGAATTGTCTCTAAACACAGTGTTGACTTGAATTTCAGTGATGAGCTCTTGTGTTTGAAAAGTAACAGAAAAGAAAGAAAAATGAAGGCTCCATGCAACAAATGTGTGGAGACCAGTGTCCCAAGGTCCAGTTTTGTAGCTGGAACCATGACCATGACTGGCTTAGGAAAAGGCCCTTACACAAATTAAATTTGTGTCTATAACAGGGTTTTTGACATCAAGTAGAACTTCTTTTAAAAGAAGTTTCTTTTATATTGTAAGGATTTGGTGTTGTAGGCTTGTATGTGTTTTATGAACTGCTCAATGAGCCATACGTTTTGCAAGCGTGTGTATTTTAATAAATACAAAAAAGAAACTTTTAAATAATGTTAAGGGTCTGATTTTTTAATCCTGCATACTTGCAGGACCTGAAGACTGCCATTTTATCTTTGGCTTATTCCACTGTGTTCAGGCATTGCTTGACTCCAAGTTGTGCATTATCTTGCATATTAAAAGGGCTGAATGCCGAAGCACAGTAAAGCAAGCTAAGGATGAACAGTAGTCTTGATTCAGGACGTATTTGTTTTCCACTTATTTAAATCAGAGCCTTAATGTAGTTTTAATACAGCTTTTTTGTATTCATTTTCATTCTTCAACAGCAGCATTTGAATAAAACAGCCGTGCTGCCTGCAATTCTTAAAAGAGCACTTCTATTCTTAAGCCCCGGCACACTCTACGATCAGTCCCTACCCCAAACTTGATTTGATATTTTGGTTGTACTGGTTCTTTAGAGCTGATACGTAATTGCATTGCTGTGGTTTTCCCATTGACGCCGCCTGGGATGCGAGTCCTGTCAATGGAACGTGATTTTCTGTTTTTAATGCTGTCACTGTAACGGCCGACTGAGCCACTACGGTGTCAATGCATTGACCGATATTTTGCATAAAGGTTTACAATGTATTGACATGACATCCCATTTCTCAAATTTTTGCATATGAAAGATGCTATGATTTTATTGCTACTGTGTGTGATATTTTCAATGTGCAAAAAACTGTGAAATGGCTTACAGCATGTTGTTTTTGGAAGAATCATTACAGTGTAAATCTTATCATGCAGAATGCCACGTGGTGAATGGGACTTCGTGGTTGACATAAACTGTGTATGCAACAGTATAAACTACAGTGCATATTTACTAAAAACTTCTTGTTACTTCTTAGGCTTAGTAACTCGGCTGTTTCTGTTCTATTGATTAGATATAAAAGAAGATGTCTCTGTCATTGTTTACATGCTAATGGTCTGAAAAACCTCAGTTTTGGAAATACTTGTTAAGCTCCTTTAAAGAGGCATCTAAAAATCCCAAATTGTCCTGTTCCTATGCTTCTAACTAAAACCAGAAACCTCAAACATTTAAATGATTAACTGTGGGGAGGAAAATTTTTGAGCTTAAAGCTTTTTTCATGAAGCTCCTGCCGAAATTGAGATTAAAATGGCCGAGTTATAAACCTCCCTAAAAAGTTTTCCACTAGCAAAGCTGACATTCCTTAGAGACTTTTGTCTGCTACTGCTATAAAATTGAATGGGTAAAGTATCTTGTAGGTTTTTTAAGTAATGTAATACAGAACATGGTAGAAGTATTCAGGCCAGTAGCCGAAAACTGACTTTGTTGATGAAGTTTATTTTATTTATATTTATATATTTTTAGTTTACAGTTGTCTTAAACCCAAAACCTCAGATGATTAGTTGCAGATACAGTAGTATCTTTAACTGTATTAGGGTATGTCATGTTTATTTCCTTTTGACCAAGACCTGATTAGATGAACAACATTAATTCATTAAGGTTTTTAATGTTAATTTGTCCTGTTAAGAGGTTAAGCACCTTATCAAAATATTAATTTAATTTTTTTAATCTTGTTTAAATAACTTTGTAATTTGAAAGTAATGGATGCTGTAGTAATGTCTTTCACATCTGTGAAGATGAACAATAAAATTGTTTATTTACAAGTTACGACTCTAATTAATTTCTGGCAATACCTCTCATAACCAGCATAGGTATACTCTACAGCTCATGGAATATTTTATTTCAATGTATCAACTGCACTTAGCACATGTGTAATAGAGTTATTGAAGGTAGAGCTGATGTCTGTTCAACGGGATGTTTAGCACCGGATCTTTACATGATACTTCCAGCAAGCCATTCATGTAGCATTCAGGAGTGCCCTTTTACAAACACAGAGTGTGTGTGCACTTGTGGATTTTTGGTTTGCCTTTTTTTTTTTTTCCTTTGGAATGTGGAAAGTTCCAGTGGAAAATAAAATTGCGATTTAGAACAAAACCCAGTAATACCCAAAAATCATCAGACATATGATGGTTTTGGTTTGAATGAAGTGGTGCACAGATCCTAGAAATATCTTTTGACTTTTTTAGTTATGGTCTTCTTAAATGGTACTGTGCTGCGTGGTGTAACTGGGACAAGCAAGGGCACAGGTCTGAGAAATTACGTTCAGGTATTGTAGTTTTGCCATTAGTGGGCAAGTTGAAACACATGCACAGCTTATTCAGTGAAGTAGGAAGAACTTCCAGTTAAAATCTGAAATGCTGATGTCTGTCACTGCATGCTGATTGTCCAAAAGTAGTACTTCAGTATGTGCGTTAAGAAGGATGAAAACTGATGAAATTGGAAAGCTGCGTTATGTTGATTTTTATCTGTTTCTTCAGAAACTGTTTTAACTCTATCTGCTCATTTTTCCCCAACAGTTAGCAATCTATTTAACCCTGTGGTGCTAGAAGTTGTGATTTCTTCATGTGTTTGTAGAAACATATAATGTGGTGAAATCCAGACTCCCAGCACTGAAAAGGGTTGTGTGAGAGTGTGTTCAGTATTTGGAACCTTTTTGTTGATTTCAGACATTCTTTAAAGGAGCATTATCAACTTTTTCAGGTTCTTCTCTAAAAATGTTAAACAAGGATTTCCTGAGGCACCTTTTTTTTTTTTTTTTGGCTATGATCAGGGAAATAGCTGTGAAGGGAAAATCTTGGCAAACTTTTTTAGGGCTGCAGTCCTCTGAACAGGGATTGCTTGCTCATAGCAGTGTAAAAGCCTGTCAGAGTTCAAGGAGCTTCTGGACGATGCTCTTAGTCACATGGTTTAGTTTCAGGCAGCCCAGCGAGGAGCCGGGAGTTGGACTTGGTGATCCTGATGGGTCAGGATGATGGTACAGCAGTGTATATAATCTAGCTTGTAACAAATGTTCTCCAAGTCATACTTTGAGGTGGCACTGACCTTCCTGGTCTACTGAAGATGAGAGACAGAAACCTAAAAAGACTTCAGTGAATTTTTAAGATGGGAGTAAAAGAAGAATGTTTTGTTTTCAAGCCTGCAAAAAGCAGGTATTTCAAATAGTATGATTGTGTTCGGAATACTGAAAATATTTGATAGTGCTCCTTTAAACTTCTTTTAATGTGATGCATTTAAAATAGTTTTCATTTGTACTGAAAATAATGTTGCTTTAAAATATGTTTTGAATACTAAAGTTGCTTTTAAAAAGATCAAAATAGAATACAAGAACTACAGCGAAGAAACTGAAATAAAAGTATCAATTTTTTATTATTTATTCAGGAGATTTCACCTAAACCACAAAGTCAGAAAAAAAATGAAGCTGATATTAGCAGTTCTGCCAGCATTCAGAAACCTGCACTGTTATCCTCAACTTTGTCTTCAGGAAAGGCTCGCAGCAAGAAATGCAAACAAGAATCTGGAGATTCTTCTGGGTGTATAAAGCCCCCTAAATCACCACTTTCCCCAGAGTTAATACAAGTCGAGGATTTGACGCTGGTCTCTCAGCTTCCTTCTTCTGTGATAAATAAAACTAGTGAGCACAGACATTTTAAAAAAAATACCGTAATTACTTATAAGAGATTTACAGAAACTTTTTTTGGTTGTAAATGGCTATTGCTTTTAAAAATGAATCTGCTTTAAAGAAAAGGTCCAAGTGGGAGAATTAGGGGTAGCTCAGTTATTTTAAAAGTCAAGTCGCATAATAAGGCATGAATTACTGGAAATAATACAGTTTAATACGTTTATAGAGTCGTGACTTTTAATGGTTGGCTTTCCCTCCAGCATAAATCTCCACGTTAGTATTAACAAATCAAACCTCTCTTCTGAAGGGGCCTGATTCATTAAAAAGAAAAGACATACACCTCGGGTGTGGACCTTTCCTTCTCTGAGAAATTCTGCCTTCAGCAGGGTGATGTGCTCTACCTCTTGGCTGTGGCATCCTTCCCCCTATCTGGTACTTTCTCAAAATAGGATGTGAAAGAGAAGATGGGTTCAAGATCTGTGGTGAGGAGAAAATGAAAAATGGGGTTTCTTTTGTCTCTGAACAATACTGTGGGTGTTCAGCTTCTTAACGTGTGTAACTGATTTGCAGAGTACCAAAATACTGGGTATGAGAAGAACAGGGAAAGCTTTATGCTGCATCCTTAAATAGGCTGTTTTTTTGTAAGGGTTAAGATACTTTATAATGGCCGAGATTACATTCAGTTTTTAGTGTTGTTTAGGACCGGGCTCTTTGTTACCTGAAGAACATTAGATGATGAGGCTAACAGCTAACATAAGCGTGGGTCCCGGTAAGACAGGAGCTGTGTTTTTGGTTCACTTTTAGCATAGTGATTGAGGATGGAAGACTATACCTGCATCATGTGTTTGCCTTAACCTTGATTTGATATTTTCCCTCAGGAGATAAGTTCCTTTTAATCTTTCATTTAAAGTTATGTGTGAGGAATGGGGGAGGGACGGGTACAAATTCAGCCACCTTTATTTATTAGGACACATTGGTGTAAATCATATTTTGTCCCCAAAAAATATTAGTGATCATCTATATTATAATATGCCTTCCCTCCCCACCCTAAAATAATGGTAAGTAGTTTTCCTTGAGCATGTTTGTATTTTGGATTGTTAGACTTCTCTGTAGCGGTATTTTAAAAATATGCTAATTTAAAAATGGGTTACTAAATAGCCTAGATGCTCTTAGTGCTTTCTTTTAATCTTTGGCTTCTGAGTCTTTACCACATCTAATGGAAATTGAATTCTGCTTTCTTTTTTGGTTGGGTGTTGGATTTCTTTTTTTAAATCTGTACTTATTTGACTCTAAAAACTGCTTAAGAAAAGGAGAAAACAGTGATTTACAGTGTAAATGTAATAATGACTTAAATGTTGTTCTGAGGTGAAAGTTTGTGACACTGGGTAAAATTGGAGAGATGTAGGGGAGTGTGGGTTTTTTGTTTTTAATGAATCAGGCCTATATTAACCTGTATCAATCCCCCCGCCGCCCCGTTTTTTTTGAAGTATGAGGTTTTGAACCTACTTACTGTGCCATCGTTGGCAGTGTGCATTTGAAATAGGTGGGGTATTGATACCAGGTTAGCAGAAGACAGGAGGTAGGATATAAAATTAACCACTGCTTTTGATTATTTAAGTTGTATGTTACCACTGTCCGTGACTTTTTACATCTTAAATTGTAATAATTTGTTCTGTTTACTGTTAAATCCTACCGCCCCCTTCCATTATAAGTAGCCTATGCTCATGGGTTTTATGGGGGGCTTGCTCATTGTAAATACACTGTTTGCCTAAAACAACAGCTTTTATGAGTGGGGTAGTAGATGCCCTAACAATGTATAAAAAGCAAAAAGCAGAATCATGTCTTGACCATAATTTATTTTTTTTTGCACCTGGTAGTCACAGTTTTAAATTACTTTTACCAGTTCTGCTGTGATTACCAGCTTTGCAAATAAGAGCTATTTAAAGCATTCCCCATCTTTTAGATCTCACATACTGCGGTAAGCTTATGGTATATCTCTCTGCTTCATGAACATTGAAAGATCTCTTTTTAGGTCCATCACAGCCAGTGAGTTCCCCTAGATCCTACAAACATAGCCAACGGAGGAGAAGATCACAGCGTTTAGCCACTTGCTCCTTGCCTGATGATTCTGTAGAAAAAGTTTCTCCCTCTTCAGTTACTGATGGAAAAGTGTTCTCCATCAGTGGTCAAAACCAACAGTCATCAAAATTGGAGGGTAATGTATCTTCATCTAATAAAGAACTGCCCAAGAGAAATTGAATCATAAAAATTAGACCTTTCATGGTTTTCATCTAATGGGATGTTCTGACTGTAGCTAAAGCTGAATGCTGTTCCTTTTGTTATGTAACGCTGCAATCCAAACTGTTGTTTGTTCGACCTATGTATCTTTTTTTAATGTTACATTTTTTCTTTTATGTAGTACCTGATGTTGCTCATATGTCACTTGAGAAGCGTGGACCATGTCTCCCTCTTGATTTAAGCCGTAGTTCGGAAGTTACAACACCATTATCCACTGAATCCACTTTCCGTAATGAATATCCCAGTAAAGACAAGGAAGATATTCAGATGATTACATATCTATCTTCCAAAGCAGTAACTGATGGAAGAATAGCTACAGCAGCGTCAGGTAAAGAGATTCAGTATACAACCAGTTAGGTTTATAGCAGGGTTAAAATGTGTATGTATTCAGGCACACGGAAGGAGGGGATACTTTTTTTTTCTGCACGCTTGCAAACCTGCCACTCTTCCTGGGGTCCATCCACCTGCGTTCTTCCGCTTCCACTGGCTTTGAGCTGCATTAACACTTTTTCTAACATGCTTTAAGGAGGATCTGAGAGTGGTGAATATAAAAAAAACGGGTTATTTCTTTCAAAAACATTTTGGATTGTTAAAACTTAAAAAATAATCCATGAAGTTGTTTACTAACATACTAACATATAATAAATCTAGATGTACTCATCTTGTGGCTTCAGCTTTAAGGCTGCATAGTATTTTCTGAGGCTGTTAGCATTTCTCTACCGTTGCTTCTGTTTGCAGTGGGAATCTTGTCATTTGCGTGCTGGGAAATGTTACTTGCAAATATTTCTGAAGAATCCTCTGAAACGTACATAGACTTGGTTCACTGTCACACAGGCAGCATAGAGCCCGGTAGTGGAAGTCTGGGCTTCCTCTCACATTGTACCTGGCTACTGTGGTTTAAGTGAATCACTTGGATTAGAGGCAATTGAGAGATTGGGGGAAGGGTTTACACAGTGGTTTGCAGACCCTAACATGCTTTCATCCAGTGTATGTTAGATGTCCATGTGCTTTTTTCATAAATAAGTCTCTTACGTGAGTATCAGAATTTTTAATTGGTTTCCAAGAAGGATATCTCATGAGCCTTTTTTGTATTTATTCAAATGAGAAAATAGTTCAGCGGGGGGGGGGGCTGGAAATAAAATTATTGTACTTTACTGGGGAAGGTTTTGGTGAACATGATTAATAGTAAAGGACATAAACATGACCTTAAATCATACAGTTATGGTGCTCAAACTATAACTTAGTTGTGTTTAGGGTGGTGGTAATGGGGAAATCCCAAACCAAGCAAACCAAAACCCAACAAATAATAACTTTGCATGAAGCTGATAATATAGCTTGCAGCGCTCAATAGATCAGTGAAGCATTTTGTTTATTATGTGCAGCCCCTTCTTGGGTGTCTGCCCACACATGCTCCCACTGTATTTATAAGGTGATTGCTTCGTCGAGTTGTAGCATAGCTATTTAAGCTGATGTAGCAAAGGCAGGGTAGCATTCTTAGATCAATATTGCCTAGATTAAAATAGATGATAGTAATTATACTTTCAAAAAAAATCTATTAATCTTTTAAACTGATTTGTCAAAATAAGGGCTACAGGAATTTCTAATGAGCTAGTACTTAGGCTTTTAAAAATATTACTTAATTTCTCAAGTGAAACCATGTGACAGTTTTGGTTTGGCTTTGATACACTGAGTAGCAGTAGAATCACAGATTCCTGGGAAAATTACTTCTGTAAGAGTCCTTTTATCTCATGTCTTTTGTCACTAAGAGCATTACTTTTGGGATTTGTACGTTTGCCCACTCATAAAACAGGATGATAAAAGGAACCAACAACTTACGCTACCATCTCTTTCTTGTGTATTAGAACTCATTTCAATTATTAGGAATTTAGCTTCTGGCTTTTCTGAATCATTTAATGTGTAGTTGGTAATGCTGCTGGGAATTTTTGTGCCTGACTTCGGTAACAGGGATGGTGTGGACTCTGTGGAGCTGGTTCTAAACCCAGCAGCCATGAGCACACTTGCACCTCTTTATTTGTTGAGCTTGGTATGGCCACAGCTAAGTCTGATTAAAGAAATAATAATTTTCATTTATAGCCACCTTTACTTATGATTCAAAAACATTTGACATGTCCACATGTTTTGTGTCAGAGAAACCAGATGATTTTTGTCAGAGAATGGTTATTACTGCTTGAGTCCAAAACAGGAAGACGGAAGCATTTGCAACCTACGTGGGAGGATACAGTTTAGTGGAGCTTTTTTTTGGGCCTGCATAATTTTAAGAGTTATAAGCTCTCAGGGAACTGATTTGCCAGCTACCTTTTTGTCTTCTGGATTTTTGCCTTCTGGATAGACCTGTGTTTTGTTCCTAATACTCACGCATTAGCTTTCCTCCATGCAATCAATAGAACTTGTCTTGTGCTTTTATGCAGATTTTTTTTTTTTATTTGCACATTAGAAGTTTTCTGAAGAACGCAGCCCAGCATCCACTTGAGCAGTATGAGGTTTGTGGGCTGAAAGACTAACTTAAGCAGCTTGACATCTTTTCAGAGATTTCACAGAAAACTTTGGAGCTAGCAGCCTCTCTCAGTAGTACTTCTAGGATTCTGTAATTTAAGTTCATGTGTCTTTTGGGTTCATCTCAGGCTTCTCACTGTGGTGAAACTCATTTGTCTCATGTCATTCTCATATTCTTTGTAGAAGAAAAAGAAAAAATGTAGCATTTCAGTTCAGATTTGAAATCTCTGGAGTTACTTTACACACTTGAATATTTTTTTTTTGTTGTGCTTTCTGCTTTAGAAGGCATCTTTTTACTTTTGAAATAGCGCAGGTTCTCAAGTCATATTACTTAAAGACACATAATTACACCAAACTCTTGCATGCTTCAGGAGAACGAATAATATTCACTCTATCACTGCTTTTCATTTTCTAGTGAATCCCTTTAAGCAGTGGCAAACTAATATATAAAGAAGAGCTGCCCAAAGCTTTCCTTTCTCATTCCTGTTCTGCTGTTGCTTGAAATTGAGAAAAGTTAATTTGCATGATGCGGGCACATCTGCCTGGCTAAGTGCAATTAATATATTCCTTTTTTTAGTGTATGCATTGTGATGCTATACGTTACAATTTCAGAACTATGATGTAAAATCTAGACTATCGTGTAATTGTCTGCTTTTTTTAATCTAAAGT